CTGTGAGAATATGGTGGCTGCTAATGGGTGGCTTCATTTTTTAGCCTCTCAGTTAATGTATTTATAATTAACTGGTTTTTATTAATAATAATGTAGCAACAATGACAATAGCTACCATTTATAAGCATGGCTGACATATAGTAGATGCAGAGTAATTATTGGCCTATTATAGTTAGCAGTGATAATGACCATTGTTACATTAGTAATAACACAATGACCATAATGAGCTTGTACTAGCCTGGGCTTTTTTATTTTTATTGTTTTTTGTATTATCTCAAGGAAGCAACTGGAATTGTAGTTAACTTAGGTCCAGGAGCTGATTTGGAGTAATGAGTCATTTACATTCTTTGTTTAAAAAAGCAAACTGCGTGTGTGTTTGTGTGTTTTTGTGCATCCACACACATGGCGTGTTTCTCCTGATTTCAAAAGGAATTCAAAAGAATCATAGAGTCAGTGGTTAAGTGTGTAGGCTTTGATCTCCTACTTTCTGGATTCAAGTCTAGGTCTGTGACCTTAGAAAAGTTACTTAACATCTCTGGGTCCTAATTTTCTTATTTTTTAAAAAAGATAATTATAGTACCTAACTCATAGGATTATGATTAAATGACATAATAAATGTCTATTGTGTTCATGTTAACACTCTCTAACGTACATTGTTTATTTTTATTATGGTTGCTATTTTAAAAGAACTGGAAAAATGCAGAAAAGCAAAAACATTTAATTCAATGATATAGCCACTATTAACATGAACATTGGACTATATGTTTCTAGTTTTTTCTATTCATATATATGTCTAAGTATATTCACTTTTTATAAAATTAGAAATTGTCATTATTTTGTTTTAATAATTTATTTTTCCGTGCCCAGTATAATTTATTTTGTGTACCACTTTACAATTTGTTTTATCAATTTACTTCTTTGTGCCCAATATATATTCTTTTTTTTTTTTTTTTTTAAGACAGAGTCTCACTCTGTTGCCCTGGATAGAGTGAGTGCCGTGGCGTTAGCCTAGCTCACAGCAACCTCAAACTCGTGGGCTCAAGCGATCCTTCTGCCTCAGCCTCCAGAGTAGCTGGGACTACAGGCATGTGCCACCATGCCCGGCTAATTTTTTCTACATATTTTTAGTTGTCCGATTAATTTCTTTCTATTTTTTTAGTAGAAATGGGATCTTGCTCTTGCTCAGGCTGGTCTCGAACTCCTGAGCTCAAACAATCCGCCCACCTCGGCCTCCCAGAGTGCTGGGATTACAGGTGTGAGCCACCGTGCCCAGCCACCCAATATATATTCTTACCTATAGTTTTAATGGTTGCATTTTAGTCCCTTATATGTATGTTCTATTATTTATTCATTGGACATGTAGTTTGCTTTGAATTTTTTACTACTATAAAAGTGACCCGAAGTAACCTAAATATACACCTTTTGGTATATATTTGATTAATTTCTTGGTATAAATTTATAGGAAACCATTTAATAAGCTATACAATATTTTTAAAAATTAATACTTTTGAAATAAACTGCCAATTGGCTTCCATAAGGACTTTAATTTCATTTCCAGCAATAGCACATGAGGTTTCTAGTTTCCACATAACCCTGCCAAGTCTGGGTGGTATATATACATATTTTTTTATATTATCCTATTTAATGGCTTCTACACAAAATTGAACAAGTCATTTTAATTCTGAGCCTCAGAGCCTGTAAAATTAGCTAATGGGTATAGAATTCAGAAATATCATCACAGATCACAAAGTTTATATTGATTCCAGACCCCACTGATGTTCAATGTTGGAAGTGTAGTTCAAATGAGAAAGGACCATATTGAAGTTGGACTAACACCAGAAAAGGCTGGGGGATGAATATCAGGGAGCATTTCTCTGGTAACGCCATGACTGTCCATAATGCCCCAGTACTGATCAGATTTGCAGATTCCAATTCAGAGAGTGATGCGGATAACAGATATAATTTAAATTTCTGATTATTTTTGATTGCTATCTATCCTGCTAAACTGCATGCTTCGTGAGGATAGGGATCTTCTTTCACTGATATATCTTAAGCACTTAGCACAGAGCCTGACACATAGTAGGGGTTCAATAATAAATATCTATTGAATGAATAAATAATCTGAATGATGCTACCCTATACCTGTCAAGTGACTGTATATCTGGTAACTGGCAGTGTGTTCTCCCCTGGGTTGGTGTGGATGAGCTGCCATGAATGAAGCCTCTTGCATTTGCCTCTTCCTACCTCCCTCTGCTGTGTCCCACTGGCATAAACTTTCAGATGTTTAATACCTTCAGCCTGGTTAAGATACTAGAATCCACACTCTGAAAGCAATGTTGAGCCTCTGTGCTCTAACCTATTGTGGATTGGCTTAACAGTTTTACTCAGAGGGTGGTGTTCCTTCCCAGTTTTTAGGGATATTGCATTGCTGCCCCTTTGAACTACCTAGAACAATTACCTCATGGGGTCATTTGGAGTATATTATATGCGATATCACACAAAATATAGAACTGATGATCTGGGCAATAATAGTATGCTGGTTAAGCTCAGGCTCTGGAGCCAGACCATCTCAATTCAAATCTGGGCTTTACAATTTACTAGCTGTGTCACCTTAAGCAAATTACTTAATCACAATGTGTTTCTCATCCAAAAATACAAATAGCAATACTTACCTTATAGGATAGTGTATAGATTAAATGAGTTAAAAATGTGTGAAGAAGTAAAAGTCATAAGCAAATGCTACCTGCTATTTTGATCATTATTATTAGCTTTAATGAACTCAGTGAGAAGTTACTATGTGATGCACACCAAATATATATTATTTCAGTTAATTCTTAAAACAACTCTATGGGCTACTGTTATTATCCCTATTTCATTAATAAAAATATTGAGGTTCAGAAAGTTTTAGTAATACCCTAAAATCGTATAGCCAGTAAGTGGCAGAGCCTGAATTTAAATGCAGGTATGTCTGAAATATTCTTTCATAGAAATTTTTCTTAATAGAATTTGAAATGTGTGCATTCTTGTTGACATTATAATTTCTAATATCTGATTTTTAGGCTTTTTAACCATGCTGGAGACCTCAGAACATTTTTCAAAAAACTAACTTTAAATGCATTTAAATATTCATATTTAAACATCCATTGGTTCAGAGATCTATAGTTTCGAAAGACTCTTACAGTTCTTAAATTATACTGTGGTCCAGTTTACTAGTCTCTGTATTTTATCTTCTAGGATTTTAGCAAAATCAGTCAAATAAATAATACAAATTAAAAATTAAAACCTACAGAATGGCAAATGATATCCAAAATAGACAATTTGCATTCCATCTTGTAGGGATAGTAAGGTTATAAAACCTTTCCTTGATCTAGTTTCATTCTTCTACATGTAGCTATCCAGTTTTCCCAGCACCATTTGTTGAAAAGAGGTTCTTTTCCCCAGTGTATATTTTTGTCAGCTTTGTCAAAGATTAGATTACCATATGCGGATGGTTTCATCTCTGGATTCTCAGTTCTGTTACAGAGGTCATTGTCTCTGTTCTTGTGCCAGTACCATGCTGTTTTAGTTACTATAGCCTCGTAGTACAGCTTGAAGTCTGGTAGAATGATGCCTCCCAGTTTGTTCCTTTTACTTAAGATTGCTTTGGCTATTTGAGGTCTTTTCTGGTTCCATACAAAGCATAGAATTATTTTTTCCAGATCTGTAAAGAATGATAATGGGATTTTGATAGGGATTGCATTAATTCTGTAGATCATTTTAGGTAGTATGGACATTTTAACAATATTGATTCTACCAATCCATGAGCAAGGTAGGTTTTTCCATCTGTTTACATCTTCTACAATTTCTTTTTTTAGTGTTTTGTAGTTCTCCCTGTATAAGTCTCTCACATCTTTCATTAAATATATTCCTAGGTATTTAATTTTCTTTGAGGCTATTGTAAAAGGGATTGCATTTTTGATTTGATCCTCAGCTTGACTGTTCTTGGCATATATGAATGCCAGATTTGTGTGTATTGATTTTGTATCCTGAGACTTTGCTGAATTCATTTATCAAGTTCTAGGAGTCTCTTAGATGAGTCCTTGGGGTTTTCTAGATATAATATCATATCATCGGCAAAGAGCGAGAGTTTGATCTCGTCTGTCCCCATTTGGACCCCCTTAATACCCCTCTCTTGCCTAATTGCTCTGGCAAGGATTTCGAGCACTATGTTGAATAGAAGTGGAGATAGAGGGCAGCCTTGTCTAGTTCCAGTTCTAAGTGGGAATGGTTTCAATTTTTCCCCATTCAATATGACATTGGCAGTGAGTTTGTTGTTTTAAATCAACCAGTGTGAATTTTAACCAGCAGATTTCTGCATTCTCAAATAAATCACTTGTATCAAATTCAAAATAAATAAATAAAAAAACCTTTCCTTGAAAGATCAAAACATGACCATTTCTGTATTCATTTTCAACAGTGAGTTGAAGTTACACATGCTCTAGCCTAACAGTGATTCTCTACCTAGTGTGGAAGTGTCCTGACACCAGGAGTAGTGGAGACTCATCTATTGAAAATGACTAAGTGCCCTGAAAGTGGCCATTTCCTTCTGATAGCAGTGACAGACTTAAAATTTGAACTCTTTTCAGACACCCCCAGCAGATAAAACAAGGAAAACTGAAAAGCAATCCATTTACAGATGTCAACACAGCTGCTGTATTTGTGGGCATGATTTGCTGTGACACATTTGATGGATTATTTTTTATATCCTTAAGATTTATCTTGTCTTCATTGAACTATACTATAAAGTGTTCTGTTATCTTTTGCCAGGTGAATGAATTGTGATATCTGGTAAAAGTGTCTTTTATAGGCAAGAGATTACAGTGCACAGAGAGCTAGCATGGCCTTAGTTGGCAGGAGAGTGGTAATTTTTGCATGACACATATTAGAATGTTGGTTACAACAGCATGGGTTTACACAGAGTTTAACTTGATGTTTGAAAATCTTATTTTTCTCTTCAACAGGTTAATTACGTATGGTTTTGTGAAGGCTATGATACATGGTGGCCAGTTGAAAAATGGAGACTTTCATTTCACTGACTGTTTATTTTTTGGTTCTCTGATGTCTGCTACAGATCCAGGTAATTGCTCAAATAATATGTTTCCTTCTTTTAAAGACTCAAACATTTAAATTGAATGTTTCTCCCAAGACCATCACCTAAGTCTACGTAATAATAATTCCTTATTCCTCTTCACTTGCAGTTGACACATCTGTTAGTAACAAAAAGAAACAGGTGAATATTCTAATAGTGCTTAAGAAATTGGTCAGAAAGCAATCTCAGTAGTGAGAAAGACTCTTTAAAGTTATTATAGTTTATTTCTCTAGAACAGGTAGCCATTTTGAGTTATAGTTCTTAATTTTTCTCCATTGAACATATCCTTTCTTTCAAAAGTGATCTATTGAATTAAATGACCTAAAATAT